TCTTTCACTCTTATACACCTTGTTCAAGTAATGAAATAGTATGAATTGCTGATAAATGTTTCTCTTCCATTGCTATAAAAGGTACTGTTAAAATTTACAAGGATATAGATCTCAAATCGGTTTTCCATGTCCCAAAAGATTCTAATAGTCGTGTTACTTTTGATGGCTCTTATTGTGCTTTCAAGACCAACATTCAGGGACGATAATTAGCAGAGCTATAGAGATAGACATACGAAATTATTTTAGTGAAATTTCCTTCAAGAATAAAAAGGCTCAAGCTTTAAGTGATATGAATTCAACTTTTGGTTTAGAATAAATAATGTAATGACATCTTAGACTAGAACATCCTAGTTTCCTATGTGAAACATTAATTTTTATCTATGTTTAAAAGTTTGGATGTTTCATCACTTTACTGTGAAATTTGTCATCTATCAAAAGGTCACTAAGTACAATTTATGCCAAAACCCTATTGTCCTTTAAAACTATTTTAATATAAAACATAATGATATTTGAGGATCTTCTAAACTAACAACTTTATTTTAGAAAAATGGTTCTGTGACGTTTATTGATGACCATACTAGACTGACTATGTTGGATTTATCTTGTAAGCACAAAAATCTAAAGTTGAATACTTTTCAAGGACTTTTATAATATAATTGAAACACAATTTAAAGCAAATATTTGCATATTTAGATCATACAATGGAACCGAATATTTTAATGAATGTTTAGAGAATTTTTTAAAAACTAAGGGCATTTTTCATCAACTCTCGTGTTGTGACTTTTTCTAATAAAATGGAATTGCCAAGAAAAAAATATACACCTTGAGATGTTAGGCTATTTTGTTTTAAAAAATATTCCAAACTATTTATCGGGGAAAAAATATTTTTAACTTTACCATTCCTCTAGACAAGTTAAAAGAGAGTTTTCCAATTTCCGGAATATACTTAGATATTCTCTTAAAGGTTTTTGGATATACTTATTTTGTTCATAATGCAAATAATGTTTTGATTAAAGCTCAACCCTAAACCTGAAAAATGTGTTTTTGTTAGCTATGCTCCTAATAGAAAATGATACAAGTGCTTTAGTCATGTTACCGAAAAAAAACTCATATAAGTATAGATATGACATTATTAAAACAAATCTTATTTTAGCACGAATCATGTTCAAGAAGAGAATATTGCAACTGAGATGATTTTTGGCAATTTATGAATCATTACCTAAAGCAATTTTGCCATCTAAGAACCAAAATAATACTAATCAAGTAGTAGAAATGAGGAAAGAATTAGACGGATGCCAAATATTCTGGAATCCAATTCAGATGGAGAAATACTGCAGAGAAATTCTAAGACTCTGGTCTATACTAGAAGCAAACTTCATACTACTATTCCAAGTGGCCCTTCAGCAGACCAATCCAGAATCCAAATAATGGTGGCCAAAAAACACAAGTACAACCCAAACTTGATCCTGTTCTTCAACAAAACTTAGATTTTACTGATTTAACCCCCCTATAGCTACTAGAAAAGGAGTTTGATCTTGTGCAAAGCATTACTATTCCAAAATACTTGTTTTATCAAACAATCTCTAAAAAACATAAAATATTTCTATAAAATATTTCCACTCTTTCTGTGCCTAGAATTAATTCAGGAAGCACTAAGTAACCCAGATTGGAGGTAGCAGTTAAGGAGGAGATAGATGCTCCTAAGAAAGATGGAACTTGGGAAATTGTTAATTTACCGAGAGAGAAGACCATTGTCCAGTAAGTGGATCTTCACCATAAAATGCAAGGCTGATGGGAGTATTGAAAGGTAGAAGACACATCTTTTAGCAAAAAGATTCACTTGGACCTTCAGAATAAACTACCAAGAAACATTTGCTTTGGTAGAAAAGATTGACCCTATTCAAGTTCTTCTCTTTGTAGCAGTGAGAAGAAATTGACCTTTATATTAGCTTGATTTAGAGAATTCTTTCTAAACAGAAAACTTAAAGATGAGGTATTTATTAATCTTCCACATGGATCTGAAAAAACCTTGGAAAAGAACAAATTTGTAAAAAATCTTTATATGAATTTAAATGATTCCCAAGAATCTAGTTTAAAAGATTTAATACAATAAGTAAAGAACATGAATATCCTCAGAGTCAAAACAATCAAATCATGTTTTATAAACATTTAAGATCTGGTTTGTTGGTCATGCTTATTGTCTATGTTGATGATATAATCATCATAAGAGATGTTTTACAGAAATTAAAACCCAAAATAAGAAGCTAGCTGGGGACTCTGACATTAAAGATTTCAGAATGTTGAAGCATTTTCTTGGTATGGAGTTTTCCATATCCACAGAAGGAATCTTTGGAAATCATTCTTGACCTACTTAGTAAACCAGTATGCTTGGTGCAAGGCAGCCGAGTCTCTCATAGAATCGAACATGAAGCTACAAGCTCTTGAAGCAAAGGATGTGGTGAATAAAAAAGAACAGTATCAAAGACTTGTATGTAGACTAATCTATCTATCAAATACTCGACCAGACATTATTTTTGCAGTAAGTGCGATAAATCAATTTATACACTCTCCAACCTAAAAGCATTTTGAAGCAGTTCATAGAATCCTTAGGTAGCTAAATGGAACCCTTGATAAAGAATTACTTTTAGGAATCACAATCACCTATAGATAGAGTTTTATAAAGATGCAGACTGGGCTGGAAGTGTCTCAGATAGAAAATCAACATCAGGATACTGTACCTTTATGGGAGGAAATTTAGTGATATGGACGAGTAAGGAAACAAACTCTGGTGGCCAAAAGTAGTGTTGAGGCTAAATATAGATCTCTTGCTCATGGAAATTTTGAAGTTTTATGGTTAAAGAGACTTCCTGAATTAAAGATCTCTATAACACTATTGATTTAGGTGTACTATGATAATAAATCAACAATCACTATTGCACACAATTCTGTTGACAGAACAAAACATATAGAGATTGATAAGCACTTCATCAAAGAAAAGATTGATAATGTAATAATTTGTATGCCTTATGTTCTATCTATCAATCTAGTTGCAATTCTAACTAAAAGGTTTCACAAGAAACAATTTGACAGTTTAATTTCCAAGTTGGAAATGTAAGATATTTTCATGCCAACTTGAGGTGTAGTATTGAAAAATTTGCCATTAGTGTCCAGATTCTAAATATTTACTTTCTCATTTAGTTTATGAGAGTATTTTTGTTTGACTAGGAAGATTTGTAGGATCCCAAGTGTAATTAGTTTTTTTTTTTTTTTTTTTTATTTTTTATAAGATGTCCTCAAGCAATAAGTAAGACTTAATAAAATGTAGAATTAGAAAAAAATTAAAGCAGACTATTTCACTCTCCATTTTCAACCAGAATATTTTTCTTCTGTTTTCCTCTCAATCTACAATATGTAATGAAGTACCAGAAGTGCAACCAAAAAGGTATATAGAAAGACGAAATCTATGAAAAAGCAATCGATGAAAAAAATTAAGGGAATTACCCAATCCAGAAGACAAAAGCAATTGAGCTCAGGAATATAGCTCATATTATGCTTTCCAGTAACGATTTCCAGAGCCACAATTCCGAAACTGTAAACATCTGCCTTGTAGGTCAAGTAGCCCCACAGTGCATATTCTGGTGCCATATACCCTCTGCATATAATAAGATTTGAAAGGCTCTACATCAACGTACAGAAAATGAATTTAAGTAAAAAATAAAATAAAATATGAACCTATATTATTAGAGACATCTGGCTTACATAGTCCCAGCAACTCGAGTGCTGATGTGAGTTTTTTCCTCCTCGTAAAGTTTAGCCAGTCCAAAGTCAGAAATTTTTGGGTTTAAATCCTTTTCAAGCAGAACATTTGTACCTTTTATGTCTCTATGAACAATTTTAAGCCTTGATTCTTCGTGAAGAAAAGCTAAACCTTTTGCTATCCCAACACAGATCTTATGCCTTGTGGACCAGTCTAGTTTCAATTGAGAATTTTCGGGGCCTGACACACGAAGTTAGTCTTGGTGAAACCTAAGATCAGGATTATCCTGTGACTGTAATAATAAAGAAAGAACAAAACTCACCAAATAGAGCACAAGCAAGGCTGTTATTCTCCATGTACTCATATATTAGCAATAGCTGATCTCCTTCTATACAACATCCATAAAGCTTTACAAGGTTTGGGTGTTGCAGACAAGAAATCATGGATACTTCGTTTAAAAATTCACGATTTCCTTGGTTTGATTTAGATGAGAGTTGCTTCACTGCAACTGCAGTTCCATCAGATAACTTACCCTGCATTGCACGGACAACATGTTGGGTCTAGCAAACACATTAGGAAGTGTACATAGATATGCATAAATGCTTACACATGTAAATACTAGAGCAAAATACAAAAGCAAACAAGCAAGCAGCGTAAGAAACAGTTTACAAAATAACTTATATAGCTCGGCCAGCATACCCACTATGGGAGTGATGGAAACCAAATTCACTGTGAAAAGACTTGAAGAATATAAAGTAGTTCTCTTGTGCTTAAACCCTAACCCTACTAAACCAAAATCTCAAGGAAAGTAGCAATGCAGCTAAAATTCAAGACAAATTAGAACAGATTGACACAAATTCAAGTGTAAACACAGTTTCCCATGCATAGGTTAGCCAGGATACCTTGTAAACAGGCCCGAATCCACCTTCTCCAATCTTGTTTGCAGATCCAAAATCACCAGTGGCAGCTCTAATTTGCTTTAAGGTAAATAAAGATATTTGGAGATCTAAACCTTTAAAACCTGTTCATAGAGAGTTACAATTGCTTCAGGAACTTGCAACTTCAACAAAGAACTACTAAATTTTTGTGCAACAACCAGAGACTATAACACGAGATTTCATAGTGATTTTTTGTATGCAAGTGATTAGAACATTAAGTTTATTTCATAATATTTATCTTAGAGAGAAAGGCTACAAATCGCATGTTTCAATGTTATAGCTAATTGATAACTCCATCATAGCACAGTGATGAATTCATGCCAAAACATTAACGAATTTGCATGCTTTTAAAATTGAAGAAACAATCAAGGTATATCGAAAAACCCCACAATGACTGTTCTGATAGTTGTCTTGTAAAACCATTAAACAAGAGATTGATAAATAGGATATATTTAAAAAAAGGATAAAGAACGAAGCATAAATATATTGTGAACAAATACCAAAGGATATAGGTTGTTTTAATATATTTGTAAATTTACTTCTTATGTACACCGTCAGCATTGTGCCCAGCAAAATGGAATACAAGCACTAATAGTTATACATGTATCAGAAAACATAAGAAGAAAGAAAAAAATCCCATAATCAACACTAAGCCACTAAGAGAGCTTGTTATTCTACTCATCAAGTCAAAATCCTTATAAACCAGGGCTAAAAAAATTGAAAATTAACATGAAGAACTGGAACATGAATCTAAAATAGCCAAACCATTTTGTCGCCTTCTCTTGGCTTTCAGATGGCTTCTCCACCAAATGATACCTAACACCAAGCATATGATAGATAAGAATCCCACAATTCCAACAACAATTGCAGCTGTTTTTCCTCCTGCTCCTGAATTAACTGGGAATGCTGCACAGATGAACCATTTAAGTACTGACATTATTATGTACTAAAAGCTCATGAAGCTAAACTGACATGACACTTGAAATGGTTAAAATCCACAAATCAACAAAACATTGTGATGAGACTTGAATTCTTTTGATTTCAGGATAGATTAGTTAGGAGAAAATATTATTATCATTCAGCTATTATTTCAAAAAAAAAATTCTCATTTAGCCAATGTTGTTCAATAACTTTTGGAGCTTTAGTTCTTGGAAATTCAGAAAAAAATCTTGGCAAGCTTCTGCAACTTTTCACATGATTTTTTCCCTTTTTGAGTTTACATGTCTGTAAATGTAGTCTTCTAAGCTAAAACACTAAAAAAGGTTCATGCTTCATTTTCTGCTGTAATCTTATCAACGTGTGATTGCTTCACTAATTAGTTTGAAAACCAAAGTCGCTTAGAACACAAACAAAACTACTTCCTGGTATAAAGTCAATGCATAATTGTCTAAAATTACAACTGAACTTACTGGGTTCCACTGAAATAGCTGATATCAAGGGACCATAGACTCCACTTGCAGGAATTGCTGTGGTACCCTTGCCAGCCCAAGTGAAGCGGATCTCTAAAACATTATCAGTAACATTGCTAGTAACTCGCTTGATGAATGGAGACAAAGCGCCATGCGCTTCAGCCACTATATTGAAGTCCTTCTCTACTAGTTCTCCCTGCAACAATTAATGACAGTCCATAAGATTAACTTTAGTTTGAGCTTTCTAAAGAAGTACATCCTATCATGAGCATAGGGTGATTCACTTTATTACTCCATATATTACCTGATATATTCACTTCAATCATATGTAAAACAATCTAGCCAACAAACAAATTACTTGTAACTAAGAGAGATCACAGTTAACCACCTGAATGTAGATATCAAATATGCGCCTCCCAAGTTTACTATATTGATTCCCATTCATTAATTGGATCTCCGCAAAGTGCAGACTCACTTCATACTTTCCATTTTGTAGACAAAAGCCAAAGTACGTGAGAGAAAGAGGAGAAATTCGTGCAGTCTGGTACAGTTCAGGGACATTTGCCGATCGATTTTCTATAGTAAAACCTTTGTTTGAAAAATCATCGTCATCTTTGTAGTCTCCAGTGCTACTTAATCCCCAGTGGCTGACATCATTGATTACAGAATCAGCATTCTCCCTTGTATCTTTTTCATATGTAATTTCATTTACTTTGATAGCATCTCCACCACAATTAATGTGGAAAAAATGCTGATCTGCCAAGAAAAGTTATCTCAAACATTACTTCCAATGGACAAGAAGAGATAATGTTGAGAAGCCAATTATTCTATTTTTGAATAAAAGAAAAGGATATATGTATACTATTAGGAAGAAAATAGAAGATAGTAGAAAAAGGAGAATAAGCAATCCTCAAGCAGCAACCAACGAACAGAAAAAAACAAACTACAAAGAAACCTCAATGCATAACAGTTGTTCAATCCCTATGTAAATGAGCGAATGGACTGCTGAGTGTGAAAAGACCAGTTTTACTGTATAAATATTATTTTATTTTTCATATCAATTTAAGCTTATAGAAAAACTTATTTCACTCAAATCTCAGTTGCCTCTCCATTTGTGTTAATTCCTTCCAGCACTATGCTAACCTTTAGTTCTAAGCATGGTGGTCCTGTGCTTTGATCCATGCTTTTAGCCTAACAACATTGCCTATGAAATGGGATCTTAATTTATAAATGATAGATTGAATTCCTTCCTATCTGTTTAAGTTTTTTTAAAGAAAAAACAACTCAATTTTATTATTTAACAACCATAAGCCTCAACTTAAAAGAGATGCCCAAAATTGTTAACCCATGTCAGCAACAAAGGAGATTGGTAACTTAGTTGTCAATAAACTCTATAGTTCCTTTCGAGCCACAACATAACATTTGGTGCTCCTTTCTACCAAATCCATCCAAGGAGTAAAAAAAGACTACCATATAGCCTTCAACATATTATGCCGTAACACATATCAACAGACAAATGTAGAAATCATATAACTAGTAAGTCAAAAGCTAATGGTTGAGACGTAGCTAACTAAACTTTACATATATACATATACACACACACACATACAAATATCAGTAACAATCACAAAATCACATGTTGCAACCTTATTTTGTAAAATAATTTAAATATATCAGTAAATTAAAATTATAGTTTAAATAATAAATTTAGAATTACAACTAAATCCTAAAAAAAACTTTGTTATCAAATATAAATGGAATATGTTTCATCTCGATTCCTAAATATTAGGACTTGGAAACATAAAATTAGAATCTAAATCCCAAATAAAATGTATTATCAAGTGTTAATGCAATACAAATAGAAAACCAGTCTTGATTGTAGATAAATTTTCAGATGAATAAAAATATTTCTATTATAGATTCAATTAACATGTTATGATTTATTTAGCTGTCTCCAATAAAAATACTTCACTGTAGATAAACTTTGAGATAAAATAAAAAATAGTTCTACAATAAATTTATTAACATGTTATAATTTATTTAGGTACTCAAGAAAAAATCAATTAATAAATGAAACAATAAGTTTGATTTTGAAAGTTCATCTAAAATAGTTAAAATAAATCCTACATAAATTTTGTTATAAAATGCAGAAGAAATACAACTATATCATTTTTGAGAGATGGGGTAAAGATAGGGACTTAAACCCAGATTTCTTACTAAAAAGTCAAGATTTTCAATCGACAAGTTAGGTTTTTCGTGTTATAGATACCTTTTGATTCCTAAATAATAAGATTAGGATTTTTTATAAATTCAATTAACCTATTATAATTTATTTTGGGCATCTGAAATAACATAAGTACATCAATAAAAGTTATTTTACCTAAAATATTCAAATAAAATAAAATACTCAAATTAACAAATAAAACAACAAATATATTATTACAATTTAACAAGTACATAAATGTAATGATTATGCATCTTGCACAATAAAACAAAATTCTTGTAAGATATTAATAAAAAATATTTTTGAAAATAATGGTTATAGACCTTGCACAATAAATCATAAAAAATTTTTACCGATCGTCTTGGCAAGCATGAACTAAACAAATTCAAGGTAATATATGTTTAGATATTGTTATTGATGTAAATTTCTATTAATTTCACTCATTTTAAAATTAATAACTTAAAATATTTTTAAATAAATTTACATCAAATTTAAATTTCTTAAAAATAATTTACCATAATTTAGAAGATAGACATTAACTAAATATTCTAAAAGATAAATTGCCACAAATAACATGAATTTTAAAAAATAAATATATTTTAAATTTAATTAAAAATAAATTCTATTTGAATTCAAATTAATAAATAAAATAAATTATAATTTTTACATTGATTTTCATCACTCTCCCTTCATGTAGAAATTATAATCAGTAGATTTATTTTGTTTGAACACTTCTCTCCAATATTTCTTATTTAATCTTCATAAGCAGTTCTCTTCAATTGTTAATGTACTTCTCATCAATCTTAAATTATTGATGTACTTCTCATCAATTTTTCATAATTTAATACACTTTTCATCAAAATCTTCAATAATTTAATACATTTCTTATCAAAATTTTCAATAATTTGATGTCCTTCTCATTAAAATTTGCAATTAATTCTCTTGGAGCACTTCTCTCTAACATCTCTTGGAATATTTCTCTCCAAATCCCATCATTTTCAACCACATTACACAAATCAAATATTGTAGATCTGTTTGTATTTTCACAGCTCATAATCGATAATTTTCTCTTGTGAAAATGGGAGGTGAAACTAATGTAAAAGTGTTTGAGACCATATTTAATGTAGGAAATTCACTTGTTTTTTCTCTCTATATACTTATTTTTCTCACAGACCTATGATCAAGAAAGATTCTAATACCACTTATTGAGATTCAAATATTAATGTTCATGTGACTTAATTTTGATAATATTTTATATATTTTTTGAGAAATATTTCGGATATATTTTAAGAATATTCTTTAAAAAATCTTAATATTTTACCTATATAAGAATTTATAATTCTATTGATAATGTACTCTCAATTTTTATCATAATAAAAAATTTCTTCTTAATTTTACCCTTATATTAATCAAACTACATTAAACCTCATATATTTTCTTATTTCGTTATCGGGCTTGTGGGAAATAGGTTAGATGGCTTTCACCGGCCCATTTGGCCAGTCCGGACCAAGGGAACCCAAAACGCACAGTTTCACTTAAGTGAGTGATTTGGTGCGTTTAGATCCAAATGACATTGGGACATGATGTATATTTAAACCCGTCTCCTTCCCAAAGAAACCTTAACGCGACTCTCCTCTATAATTATCAACTGCAACCATCCAAAAGGTTCCATTTTTCTCTATTTTCTTGTGTTTTCTCTTGATTTCTTGCAAGTTAGTGGGAGTTCTCTTTGTTTCGGTCGCTGCAACAAAGATTTCTCATACTCTTCTCACTCCTGCGACCTTCACCATTGCCGCACACAAATCTAGTAATCCTCTTCACTTTTGCTTATTATTTTTATATAAATCATTTGGTTTTTAGATAGGTTAGTTGGTAAATCTCATTTTCTTTCATAGTACTGGAGCATATTAGGAATGAATAGTCAAAATTTTTACCAAACCACTGCAAACCCGAACTCAAACCTTAAGGATTTGGCTGTAATAAATATGGATCCTTCAAATGTCAACAGTTTGTACTATCTTGATAAATCATTGAATTCTATCACGGTTCTTGTTATGGAGATGCTTAATGAAGACAATTATTATACATGGGCAAAATCTATGGAACGAGTATTGAGTATACAAAACAAAAGGAGGTTTATAGATGAAACCTTAACACAATTTATAAATCCAACAGATCCATTGAGAACATGGTGTAATGATATAGTGATTATTTGGATATAGAATGCGCTTTCACCTGACATTAAGACCAACATATTTTATGCTCAAACGACACATCAACTATGACATGAACGAGAACAAAGACATGCTGAACAAAATGCAACCAGAGTGTATCAAATTAAAAAATCTATATCTATACTCACACAAAACTAGGAGCAAGTAAGGACTTATTTTTCAAAACTCAAATTCTTGATTGATGAACTCATAAATTATGAACCTATTCCCAACTGCAAATATGGGGGCCTTAAACCCATTGTTGGGTACTAGGATATGGATCATATAATGAGGTTTTTTATTGGACTAATAAGTCATATAGCTTGACAACAAAAATCTCGATAATGAAGCTTTTTCCTAGTTTGAATAAAGCATTTTCTATCATCCAACAAGAGGAAAAAATGAGAGAAATTTCTTTGAAATCTATTACTAACTAGGTCATACCTTTTAGTATAAAGGAAGTCAACAAACCACACAAAAATTCCAGTTCGAACAAGGAAAAATATTAGTATACTTATTGCAAGAAGATTGGACACTCTTTGGAAAGATGCGCACCCAAATAGATCTGTATGCACCAATTGCAACCTACTAGGACATACAACTGAAGTATGCTATAGAGATAAAACAATTAAATGAACAAAGGTCTCAAAGCAAGATTAGACAACCCACCATCAATTAAGCATCTTCTATTGATACACAAGCTGAACTCAAGGGAGAGGAGCACAATTTGTTGACAAATGATCAACTTCATCAACTTATGGCTTTCACTCAGCAAAGTCAAGCTATTGTCAATATGGTACAAGCAACTTCAGAGCAACCTTAAGATCAGAAACTCACAGCATTCTTTGGTATGTTTTCTTGTTTTAATGCTTGCACAATAGATCAAAATAAATACACATTGGATAATTGATATTGAGACCTCATATCACATGGTACACACACCACAATTATATATTGAGATAACATAAAATATTAAATTTAAAGTTGTATTACTAAATTGGGAAAGGGTATATGTATCTCATGTAGCAGTAGTAAAATTAAGTGAAACTTGTATTAAACAATGTATTATGTGTGCATTCATTTAAATTTAATTTAATATTTGTAAGAATGCTAACACGAGATATTAGATGTTGTCTAATTTTCTTACAACAACATTGTATCATCCAGAATCTTTCGACCTGAAAGACACTTGGAATGAGTGAGATTAAGCATGGATTATACTAGGTTAGACAACCTAAGGATTCAGAAGACACAAATCAACAAATATTTACAGGAATGACAGTGCAAGCTTCCAGCAAAGAAGAAAGAGACTTTGATGTGTGGCACTACAGACTTGGACACCCTTCATTCAACTATAGTTTTGATTTTTGATATGTTAGCAAACAAAAACTCTAAATTATGTTATGTATGCCAATTGAAAAAAATGCACAAACTTTCATTTTGTGATAGCAGTAATAAAGCAAAACAATGTTTTTGATTTAATACATTGTGATATTTGGAAACCTTGTAATGAAATTTCTTATGATGGATTTATATATTTTTTTAACAATTGTTGATGATTTTACTAGATGTGTTTGGGTGTATATGATGAAAAACAAGGCCGAAACACGCATATATTTACAATACTTTTGCACTTTTATTGAAATTCAATTTGACAGGAAAGTAAGAGCGATTAGAATTGATAATTAAAGAGAATTAGAAATGAAAAG